ATAATTATTGAAAATTTATAGCAAAAATACACAATTATTGAAAATATATTGATAATGAAAACTACAATAATTACAGAAATTACAAAAATACAATAAGTACTAAAAATATATTAACTTAGACAATAAATAGTATAATCTCAAATAATAGTTTAAGCTCTACTTAATATTAATCAACAAATTATAACAAAAACACAATAAGTACAATAAATTAAATTTAAAAATTTTAATAATAGTAATTTAATCTCCAATAATTATTGAAAGTTTTCTATTAAATAACTTAAAAAAATATATTTATACATACGTATTGAAAATACATTTATCACAAAAGACAATAAATATTAATTTTAGTATATATAATTATATAATAAATATAGATTAAGAGTATAAAATTATTATTAATAAATAATATTTGTTTGAAAGTTATATTCTCGAATTATTACTTGATATAAGTGAAATTAATTATTTACAATATTATGTAAAAATATTAAATTATTATTAATTTCAATATTATGTTATAATTAATTTTCTACTTTTTAGATTTTTTTTAATTTATTACATAATTTATTTATTTTAACTATTTAAATACTTAAATAATATGTAAAATATTTAAATTTTAAAATATTAATTATTTATTGAATTTAATTTTAATTTTCCATAAAATCATAATTTAAACTATGATTACATAATTTTATTATTAAATTTGTAATATATTAAATTTATTATTAATTTAAATATTATGTTATAATTATTTTTCTACTTCGAAGAAATTTTTTAAATTTATTACATAATTTCGTTATTTTAACTATTTAAAATCTAGTTATGATAAGTATTTAATTATTTAAATATTTAAATATTTAAATAATCTATAAAATATTGAAATTTTTTTGTTATTTCAATTTAATTTATTTAAAGCTATTACATATTATTAAATATTTAAAAAATATATTTAAATTGATAATCCAGAAAAACATAATTTAAATTGTTAGTACGTAATTTCGTGATATATTTTATAAAAATATAAAATTATCTTTTGTGTTTTTAATAAATATTTTAAAGTTATTTTATAATTTTGTTAGAATATTTAAATAATTCTTAAATTTTTTAATCCAAACTTTCTTTAGATAGATATAGATAAAAAGTATGGGAGAGGATAAATAGGAATTAAAGATAATTTAGGAGAGAAACTCTCTACTAAATTAGAGATAATTTTGAGATAAATAGGAATTAGAGATAATTTAGAAGATAAATAGAAAGTATAGATAATTTTGGAGAAATTGGGGGATAGTGGGGGAGGTAGTTTAGGAGTAATTTTAGGAGAAGAGATAAATTAGGTTATTGGAAAAATGCATCTCATTGGTTGTTTCAAAAATTCCTAACATGGCAGGACCAGTTTTAATATATATATATATATATATATATAAACCAATTGATAGTAAAATACCAAAGTAAAAATAATAAAATATAAACCAATTGATCTATCAATGAACGCTAAACCCCCTTTTTTATACAATCGTGATGAACTTAAATCCATCAAGGAATTAACGCTAAAACTCTTAAAATAGAATAGTGTATCTTGCACTCTTGGATTTATATATATTCAACATTCTCATGGATCTAATACAGTTTTTGATTTTATATATTTTTATAATTATTAATTAATGATTTAACTTATATAAATAATAAAATAATAATAACTTTATACATGTAGTAATTTGTAAAAAACCATATAATGTCTTATACTTAACAAACTAATAATAGTGGTTCAATTAGTAGGGGGTGCTCACAGTTAATCAAACCATAGGCATATTTTTGAAATCGAATTGGTGTTACCAATTTCTAAAAAACCGGAAACCGAACTCGTGTTACCGGTTTCTAAAAAACCGATAACCAAAACCAAACTGAAGGCAATTGATTAACCAGTTGACTGGTTTAGTTCATCAGTTTTATAGCTTTTTTTAATATTTATAATATATATTATAAAAAAATATATAAATATACAATAAAAAACCGGAAACATATAATATTATATTTTAAATAATAATTAATATATTATAAATATGCATATTTATTAATCTATAATATACAAAAAATATAAAGTATATTTAAAATATATATAATATACATAAATATACATAAAATATATAGAAATATAAGTATATCAGTCAATTCGATTAACCACAGATTTTCTATCTTGGTTAACTTAAACCAAACTAGTACATTCGATGTTTTAAAAATACCAAACTAACTGGTTTGATTAATTGGATTTTCAGTTCAATTTCAACCGATTTTTCAATTCGGTTCGGTTTTTCGATTTTTCTTACTCACCCCTATCACTTGGTAGGATCTCTATCTCTTTTGTAGCAAAGACATGGGATCAAATCCCCACCAAGGTTGGGGGGTTAGGGGATGGAGAATAGGATATCCCTATGAAACAAACAAACAAACAAATAATAAATAAAGCTGCATTTAGAATTCTTTATTTTAAAGACTTGTCTACTTTTAAGGGAATTTTAACAGCAAAGTAAATAAAATAATGTCTTAGACTATAGGTTGATGCATTACTAGTAAACTTTTTGAATGATATCTACATGTTCGATTTAGTATTAAATATATTTCTTTCAACCCTAGATAAATCTAGTATTATTAATATATGTTAGATTTATGAGAGTTTTAGCTATGTTTGAATGTGTATTTAGATCTTTCCAACCTTACCTATATTTTGCCATGTGGCTAAAAGATACTCCGTCTGTTAAGCCACCTGTCAAAAATGACGAGAGGAACACGTGGTTCCTTTTGGACCCAAACCATCTTGCCACCTGAAAAATTCTTCGCTTGGGTTGTTTAGGCTTTAGACTTTAAACTTCACTGAACAACCAATCAACCAAACTTGGTCCAGCCGGCGGGCGCGTAAAGGGTAAACAAAGCATTATTTGACCCATCTTTTTGTATGCCAATTGGCCCGGCGTGCATACCGTTAACCTAACCAGTTACCTCCACTAACCCTCTAACCGGGTCTAGCGTATAAAAATAGGACTAGATGCACCCTATCCCCCTAGCATATACCTCAAAATCAGATCATCAATCATCCGATACAAGGGTGTCAATCGACCGGTTTTGGATCGGACCTGTTCAGTCCAAAATCAATTTTGATAGATTTGACTGACCAACAAGACATATTGGATTTGACCAATCCAGTCTAATATATTTATTAGATTGGATTGGACCTGATCCGTAACAAATTTATATTGGATTGGGTTGGATTAAGCCAATATCTAGTCCATTGGTATAAAATAAGAATATATTTGTCAAATGGACCGAGTTTGGGTTGAAATCAATTTAAATCAAAATGAATTTGAATAGATTAGACGATCCAAACATTGAATTGGACCGATCCATTTATAATGGACTCATATTGGACTGGGTCGGATTTGACCAAATCTAGTCCAATTGACACCCCTAATCCAGCAAACAAGAATTTGACCCATTGATTGAGTGGTCTGGATTGCGATTGCAGAGAACAGGTGGGCTTGAATTTTATATAGGCTGGGTTTGGATTTTCGATCCTCAAGCTGGATTTCGGCCTAAGAAATCAAGTTTTTTTAGGCCTTAGGTAGTCCGAATTCATTTCAGCTATATATACAATACAAGTCCTACCCAAGTCTGAACCCAATCCAAGTACATYAAATTACTGTGCACGCTAAGTTTTAATTGCAAATATCAAACTTGATCTCGGACTCAATCCAAACTCAAACCTTCGGCCTAAATTTTAAAATTGAGCTTTCATTGACCATAAACCCAACCCAACCCACTTGACTTGCACCTTTAATAGCCGAAACCAATTACAACTTACAAGGCTGGTAATAATAGGTTGGGCTTGAGTCGGGCAGGATTGAATCAAGGAACCGAAACTGAATCAGACCGTACCGAGTCTTAATTTTAGACCCCGATGAACCCAAATATAATAAACCTGTTAAAATATTATATTTAATATATATATATATATATATATAAATATAATGACCCATTCGGTTCGGTTCCATCGGATAACACGACCCGTTGAAAGCCCTAATTACAACCATATGGACATGGAGGAAGATAGTGGTCAGAGCGTTGTAAGTTAACGGCGTTAGCTACGAGGAGTGGGAGAGAACTACCGACTAGCGAAAGAGAGAGAGAGGATTTTCTGTTGGTTGGGGGTGTGGGGAGCGTAGGAGAGCGGTCACAATGTCACATGAGAAAAAGCCTAGAAGTCTTGAAAATAAAAGCGTCCGTTGCTCAAGCGACGAGGCCTGTTGGAGGGAGACGCATCTGGCCGTCTATTTGAATCAAACGGCCATTATATTTTTCAGTTATTTTATTTTAATAGTAAATAAAATGGGGGAGAAAAGTGGCTCAGGGGAGAAGGGAAGAAACCAAAAAGAGGGGTAGAGAGAAAGAGAGAACAGAGAACAAGTTTGAAAGAGGTAGAGAGAGACAGACAAACAGAGGAGAAAAGAAGAGAGAGAGAGAGAGAGACGAGAGGGAGATTGGCTTCTCAACAGTGAGACATAGCTGAGGAAAGAGAGAAAATTAGCGAGAAACGTTCTGGGTTTCCCTTGTTTTCAAGGAATCTTCTCCGTTTTCTGCCAGAATAGAAAAATCTCGCCTTTGCTGCTCTGGAATGGAGTTCTCTCCTTGTAAGTTTTCTTTCTTCTTCCTTGTTTGGGTTTCTGATTGGGAACTTGTGAACAGATTGTTCCTTTTGTTCTCCAGGGATTCCATTAATGGGGCTTCTCTATAATCCTTGAATTGCAGGGTAATTGAAGGGGATTTGCTTTGGATTCCTCTCTAACATCCACAGATCTTCAGGTGAGGGAGATTTCTATCTGCAGATGGGGCGATTTGATTTCTTTGGAGTTCACTTTTCCCTTCTTTCCTCTTTGTCCTTTCCCCCCTTTTTCTTGGTCCATTGAGTTCGTCAGAGCAAACCAGATAAGTTGTTAAAATATCTCCCTTTTATTGTTGCACAGATGGAGAAGGAAGCAAAGAATCAAGCAACAGGTAGAGCTCCGGAGACAGATTTTCTCTTACAGTGGGGCAACCGAAAGAGACTTCGATGTATGAAGGTGAAAGGTGAAGACGGCACGGGGAAGGGCAATGGTGTGATAAAGAGGAAGATCACCACTCGCGTTGATCGCCGTGTCGTGAGAGTCGACAAAGAAACCCCTCCTCTGCAACTCAATACCATGAGCAGGTAAGAAAACCCAGAAAGGAATTTTAAGAAAGAGGAGGCAGAAGGTGTCAGAAATCAAGAGGAGAAATGAAACTGATCTTCTCTCTCTCTCTCTCTCTCTCTCCTTTTCCTGGTTCTGGTTGATTTCAGGAACTCAAATTTGGCGACGCTTCCGTCGAGTGCAAGCGAGAATAGGAAGTCATCTTCGCCGGAGAAGGAAGACCGATACTACACAACGAGAGGATCTTTGGGGTTCGACGACAACAATGCGAAGATCTTAATGGATGCAGGGGAAGACAGAGGGTTTGTCTGGCCAAAGCTCTTCATTTCGCTTTCGAGCAAAGAAAAAGAAGAGGACTTCATGAAGATGAAGGGTTGTAAGCTTCCTCAGAGGCCCAAGAAAAGGGCGAAATATATCCAGAAGACCATACTCGTAAGTCCTCATCTCCATCGCTTCTCCTTGTTTCAATGATCAAGAGAACTGTTGAAGGCCTTTCTCTTAGATAGAGGGCACCCCTCTGATCTTTCTGATTCTGGCACTGATTTCTCTTTCTGGGGGTCTGGGGGATTTGCTGCAGTTGGTGAGCCCTGGTGCATGGCTTTCCGATCTTTGTCAAGAGAGATACGAAGTGAGAGAGAAGAAGACATCTAAGAAGGTATCTATATGAATTTGATATCTATTTTCTTCTTTTTTTACACCATGGTGACCTTTGCTCTCTCTCTCTCTCTCCATATTTTCTTGATTGTTTGGTTTGATTTGGAGAAACAGTGTTAACACCTGGCATCTGGGTTATGTGTTGTTTTCTGATGCAGAGACCAAGAGGATTGAAGGCCATGAGTAGCATGGAAAGCGATTCAGAATAAGTAGCGGATACAGGCATAGGGAGACCTTCATTTTGATTTTGGATTCTTGATTTTTGATTTTAGAGGAGAGTTGTAAGAGAAAAGGAAAAGCAAAAAGAGATAAGGCTTAAGTATACCACTCTCTTTCTCTCTGTTTTTTCTGGGTGTAAAAATTGTTTTTTTTTTTTTCCCTTGAGAAAAATATTTCTTTTTCCTTTTATTCCCTCCAAAGTCTTCAACCTAGTATAGTAAACTCCGTGGAGATGCCACTCTTTCGTTGGTTCTTCTTCTCTTTGTTGATTAGTTTCCTTCTGGCTTCTTGGTGTTTCGATAGTTGCCAAATCTACGATTGTCATCCTCGTGTGTGTGTGAAGGATAAAAAAAAACCTCACCTAAGAAATGGAAAGAATCATTTTAACCAAACCGTTTTGGTTTTTTTTGCCATGAATGAAACCAAAAACGGGTATGGGATCAGAGAAACGGGAAGGGCGACTGAAATTGAGAACATCGAGAGAGCTCCCAATACAGGGTTGGGTTGGTGTTGATCAGAGAAACGGGAATGTCCTGGCTGCACATTGAGAACAGGGTGGGATGTGGCTGTGACGAGCAGATCCCAATTCCTTCTTTATCACCGTTGAACAGAAAAAGGTTAGAAACTCCTTTGTTTTCCTTTTAATACAAATGGAATTGAGAGAGCTCAGAGATGGACCTTTGTTGAAAGTCACCATGTCAACCCAAACACATCCTAAACGCGATTCACCCAAGGGAAGGAACCACTGTGGACGGTTAGTGATGCTTTAATTTAAAGAGCTAATTTAATCATACGGGGTGCCTTGAAAAAACCCTGTATTCATTGTTGTCCTGCCTTACTATCATCTTGAAATCTTGATTCATTCACCTTCTTACGACCAAAATTGCGTATCTATTAGTCCGTCTGGGACTGGGAGAGCTTCTGACTTCTGTGTGTTGTGTTTATGCGTCGACTCAGGATCAATCTTTAAGAACTCTACCCACACCCACCCACGAAATACTACTACCTCTGTCTCTGTGCATTAGGATCATCTCTTCTAAGGGGGTGCCAATGGACTGATTTTGGATTGGATCTGTTCAAGTCAATATCAACTCGGACGAATTAGATGGACCAACAAGACATATTGAATTAGACTAGTCCAGACTTAATGGCCCCAAGTATTTATTGGATTGGATTAAACTTGGTCCATCCATAATGAATTTATATTGGACTGGGTTGGATTGAACTAATATCCGATTCATTGATAAAAAATAAGAATATAAGTGTCAATGGACCAGGTTTGGGTCAAAATTAATCTAAATTAAAACATATTTGAACAGATTAGACAGTCCAGACATTAAATTGGCCCAATCCAAAATGGTCCAAAACATTYATTGAATTGGATTGAACCTGATCCATTTATAATAGACTCAAATCTGACTAAATCAGATTGGACCAAATCCAATCCAATTGGCACACCTAGATTCTCTCCATGCATAAGCATGTAAGAGCCTGAGATGTTCCCCATGTGTAGGTGGGGTCTCATGTGAGTAAATGTGGGTAGAGTTTGTCATGGGTAGGAGGTGCGGACTATAAGGATTATGGCTTCACGGTCACGGTGGTCGGGGTTCTTCAGCTCATGTAATATGCCAGGTGAAAGTTAATCCGGATTTCCTGTATATGAGGTCCTGCACTCCCAATTGCAGGGTGCCATGTCAACATTACATTGCATGTAGATTTCCCCTGTGCGAGTAGAATTAACCAACATTTCAAACATCTTTTAATCTTATTTTTAATTTATGAAAAATTATAATTTCATTTAGATGAAATAAAAAAATAGAGAAGTTTTTGGGATTTCTAAAAATAGGGTTTCCTTTTCATTCTTTTGCTCAAAACTTTCCACCACTTAACTGAGCACGCCTGAGAACCAACAGATCACCCATGAAACACTTTTGAGACGAACAATAAAGTTATTATGTTTGGTCTTTTCTCTTGATTTTGTTAAGCAAGTAAGCAACAAGAATGTTAGAATATAAAGTTGTTGTCTTGTCAAACTAAGCTGCAACAACGGAAAAGTTGAACCAAATGTATTGTTTGGGTGCCGTAGAATTCTGTATATTTTGTACATCAAATATAGATATCTGTGGCTGGTCATAGATCCCCTCTATTATGAGATTCTCTAGTTAATAAAATTTGAAGAAAGGGCAAAATGAGTTYCTGTATTGATAGTCTTAGGTGTGTAGTTCTTCGTCCATGGTCGGTCAATGCTCAGGCATGCGGTTCACCATCCATAGTCCATCAGTACTCAGGCGTGTTGTTCCTTGAAGAAAAGCCTTAAGCAAGAAGAAGAATAGTGCCGGAGAAAGTTAGAAACCCCTCTTTTTTAGTAGGTGTAGAAACCCTTTCTCTTATCCTTTGTTTTTTTATTTATTTCATTTAAAAATTAATGTAATTTTTCTTATCTTAAAAATAAGATGTACAATGCTGACATGGCGCCCTGCAATTGCAATTGGGAGTGCAGGAAACTGTGCAGGAGATCCTAAAGTTCTCCCAAACGGCAGTACATCTACTAGGAAAATGGTGGGCCACCGTCAAGGGTAGATACCACTGGTCCACGTATGTTGCAGCCTTGCAGGTGTGGGGCCTGTGGTTATTGAGGACAGGAATCGATAATCAATGTGAGCATTTGATGTCATGATCAGATATGCATGAGCGGTTGAGCATGAACACCAATTACTCGAATTTCCTATTTCTACTGTTTGTTCAACAATGTTTTATTTCTTCATGAAAGTTGCAAGGAAAACAAAACTTTTTCATGAAAACATAGGTCCAACTTTTCAGCCTGAAAATCAAAACGCATACACAGAAAACCTTAGGAATTTAGGATAATTCATTTTAGGGTTTGTTACAAAACACAGACCTATTTTTAATAGACCTGGCAATTGGGTTGGGTGGTTCGGGTTCAGGTTGGGTCAAGACCTTTCGGGTTGATTTTGGGTTGGCTTGAATTTTAGGTTAGGTTATAGATATTAGACCCTAACCCTAAATGTTCGGGTTAGGATTGACCCATGGGTCAAGTCGGGTCATCTAAAAAAATAACTGAAATTAAAAAAAATAAAGAAAAACTACATAAAAATGTCAAAATTAAAAGAATTAACCTTAGAATTCTAAATATAAATAAAAAACTTGAACATTTAACAATTTAAAGAGTAAAGACTAAATAGAAAAAATTAAAGAGTAGAAACTTCTAACAATGCATAAATAGTCCCGATTAGACTTGACAATCGGGTCAGCGGGTTGACCCATGACCCAACCCAGTTTTTTCCGGGTTGGGTCGGGTCATTCTCACATTCAGGTAGTTAAATATGAGACTCTAACCCTGTTTTTTTCGGGTTGGGTTGTCGAATTCGCAAGTTGGGTCAACTTTTTGCTGGGTCTAATTTTTATTTATTCCCAATTTCCAAAGAAATTAAGGCCCCGTTTGGTTCACGGGGGTCTGGAATCGGAATCGGAATCAGAATCGGAATGGGTGATTCCGATTCCAACTGCTTGGTTGGGCGGAATCGGAATCCCATTCCCATTCCTACTGAAATGGCATTCCCCCATTTGAGAGAATAGCCATTCCCTGCCCCCTCCCTGAATGAAATCCCATTCCTACTGATTTCAATTCACATTCCCATTCCTGTCTAATCAAGCAGATTATAAGAATGGACCGTTCTGATTCCGGTTCTGATTCCGATTTCTGACTATGAACCAAACGGACCCTAAGTAATGAATAAAGCCAGAATGTGTTCCAACTTCCAACAGCATGGGGAGTTAAAGACAGTTTAGTTTGAAAAGAAGAGATTTGCGCAAAACAAACACAGCGTACTAGTAGTACCACAAGTGCCATTAAATGAGGCATATGATGAACTGACGTCTCATTGCCTGCTCCTCCCCAGGCCTCTTCCCCAACTGCTTGTCTGCAGCGCAAAAGGTAATGAAGCAATGTCAGTTGTGGGCATCAGAATGCGGATTTTAGTTCTGGCTGGCTTTGCAGAGGACCCACTAAGAAAGAAGGTGATGGTGTAGTGGTAAGAGAGAGTCCCACTGTTGACTGTCGTGGTTTGTAGGATTTACCTCAATTGAGTTGACAATGGAATCACAAGTAGCTAGTTAGCAGTTGATCTTCCTTTCTATTATTTTCTTTCTTCTTTCTCTAGATTGAAGCTATCTCGCTCATTGTACACATTGTCTCTTTTCGTTCTCTTTTCCTATTCAAGTTCTTAAACTTAACAATTAATGTGACACTACACAGAATGGAATATTCATATAGCCGATCACATATAGTTGAAACAAGGATTAAATGAGAGGCTGCATTTCAGTAAATTAGGCAACTGAAGTCTGAATTGAACCTGGGTGCACTGGGTGTGGATGTCAAACTTGTATCCTCAACCTGTGGTGTATATGCAAGTCTAGGTGATAGAGAATCACATTAAACGGTGGACCCTTTCTTGTTTTTGGGTAGAAAGGCGATGGACTTCGATACAGAAGACTGTAGGATCTTCAATATATTTTCCATGTTTGAAGCATTTTATCCTTCTCTCTCTCTCTAGATTTCAAGAATGAGAAGGCAATAGGCAATATTACAATGCAGCAATAATTTTCCATTATTAAGAGTCCATTTGCTTCACAGTCAGAATTGGAATTGGAATCAAAATCCCTTAAACTTGAAATGGGAATGGTCTGTTCCCATAATCAGTTTGGTTCAGAGAGGAATCAGAATCAAAATTGGAATAAACTAGAATGGGATTTCACTCCCAAGAAAGAGGAAGAGAATAGCCATTTTCTCAAATGAAAAATGTCATTCTAGCAGGTATTAATGAACCAAAAGATCCCTATTCTCATGAACCAAACAAGCCCTAAAAAAAGGATTGTACAAAAATAAACGAGGAAGAGCTGCTTCTTCCTCCCTTTATGCTCTTTCTTCTCTCTTCTCTTATTCACTTCTCTCTCTCACAAACACATACACACTCTACTTGATCACTACCCACTTGCCCAGTATCCCACACAGCGAACCACCAAAAGCGCCCAATCCGCATTCCCTTTGGCGCATGCCTTGGTGACACCTTGCTCTGGAAAAGATAAAAAATCAGGTAGAAACACTAAAAAACAAAGGGAGAGAGATGTACGCTCCGTTTGTACAATGCTGACCAAACATCCAAGTACCTGAGATTAGTTAAAGAACATCATTTTTCTTATGGCTACATGGTCTCACTTACGGTCGGCAGTGTGAACTAAGGGCTTACAGTTG